ACGTAATTTATATAATATTATTAATTATAAGAAATATTTATTTATTGAAAGATTTGGAGGTGTTGTAAAAAACTTTATTGATTGGGATAAGGAAGATGAAATTAAATATGTCAATTATGATAGTGATTCAGATTCAGAAAATATTGATAATAATTTTTATAATTAAATTAATAAACATATATATATATATTTTTGTTTAAAATTATTTTTTTTTAAATATGTTAAAAATATTGATAGGTTGATTATTTATATTATAACTTATAATTACATAAGCGAAGCGATGCTTTCAATGTTACCTATAGCTAGATTCCGTTAAGTACTACCTATACTATAAATAATCAAAAAAGACCTTCATTACTAGTAGTTTGCATCTGAATTTAAATATTTTCATCATCAGATTCAATCTACTCAAAATTGAAAAGAACAATAGTAGTATTTGAACCAAATCTACAGAAATTAACAAATAACTTTAATTATTTTCACCAATTTGTCATGTGCTCCTAACTTGCGCATGACTGTTGTAACTAACTAATTAATATATTATATCTGTAAATATCATTCACAATATTAATTCTAACAATTGTAGCTTTGAACAATTCACAGAATTAAAAATGATCTTTATTACTAGTAGTTTGCACCTTAATTTAAAGATTTTTGTTACTAGACTCAATCCACTTAAAATTAAAAAGAACAATAGTATCAAATCTACAGAAATCAACAAATAATTTTAATTACCTTTGCTAATTTGTCATGTGTCTCTAACTCACACATGACTGTTATAACTAACTAATTAATATGTTACATCTATAAAGATTATTCACAACATTAATTCAGCAATAGTAGCTTGAAACAATTCGCAGGATTAGAAAAGATCATTATTACTAGTAGTTTGTACTTGAATTTAAAGATTTCTATTACCAAACCTAATCTACTCAAAATTGAAAAAACAATAGCAGTATTTGAACCAAATCTACAAAAATTAATAAATGACATTAATTACTTTCTCCAATTTATCATATGCCTCTAACTCATGCATAACTATCATAACTAACCAATTAACATATTATTTCTATAAAGATCATTTATAAAGCATCTACTCTAACAAAAGTATTAGCAACTTTCAAACAAATTCACTAGATTTAGAAAAGCCTTTGTTACTAGTAGTTGTTGAACAAAATCTACTCGAATTAAAAGACTGTAGTTGTCAGACTCAATTCATCTTCATTGTAAATAAAACTCACTAGAATTAAAAAAAAGACCTCTGCTAGTAGTTTTTGAACAAAATCCAGTAATAATAACTTTAATTACCTTTACCAATTTGTTATGCACCTCCAACTTATACACAACTATCATAACTAGCTAATTAACATGTTATGTCTATAAGGATCTATTTTAATACATCAATAGCAAGTAGTTTGTTTTAACTAGTTCAATTAAAATTTAAGACTTTTATCACAGGTAGTTCCAAGTAGTTCTCAATTCACTTTAAATTTAAAAGAAGACTTTTGTATATTGTAGTTTTAAAACAAATCAAATTGAATTTAGTTAGTGTTTTAAAAAAAAAATTGAATAAGGTCTGGTGATCTTAGTGTAGTAGTTAGATTGCCAGACTGCCATGCAAGAGGTCTAGAGTTCAAATCCCACTGTCAATGAATTTGAATAATTACTCAGACCTTTGTATCCAACTTACAGTAAACCCTGTCCATTTCTGGGGTTGTAACCCTGTAAATTATATTATACTAATATCATCCAGATATTGGAAGTGTGACAGGGTGTTTGGCGAGACATAACGTTATATGAATAAATCTTGATAGGATCTATGAGCAGAGGACCTGCATAGTAGAAATCCTGAGTAGGTAAAGTAGTATAGCTTTCGATGGTCACACTAGCTAACGATTGATCCAGAAAGGAAACTATAATCAAAAGATATAAATCAAGTCAGGTGCGCATAAATCTATTTCACAGAGAGAATCAGTAATACCAATCTAGCTTGGCGGCTAACTAGATTGAGAGAATCTGCTTCGTAAAACATCCAAGAAAATAGAATACAGAAAACTGGTGGAGAGCTATAGTAAGAACTGAGGTTGTATGAACATCTATAAGGGTCTAATCTAGGTGATCCCATAAAATGGGTACGGGCCACTCTAGTGGGTTTGCTTCAAGATTAACTGCCTCTGCAATACTAGCAATGTGTCTAGTATAGTGTATTCCGAGAGGACCTAAGCTGATTTGAGTAAATAGATCTGTAACAAGCTAGCTGGCTTAAGCGGTTAGGTGTTGCAGTGATGTTAGGTTTGGATCTGTATGGGTTAATGAACAGAGTGTTTAAATAGGTAACTCACAGGTAGGTTACAGATATAGTAGTATAGTGTGGAACTAATCAGGTAGTCTAATCGCCTGTGCGGCGGACTACTTAAATTAGACAATGACTAAAGTTGTATATGTAGCTTGTTGTACACTCTTTATGTAATTACAAACAGTAGGAATTATCAATGTATAATCTCATATGCAAATACTAATAAAATCCCGTCGGCAATATAAGCTGCCTTAAAAAAAAAAAAAAAAAAAAAAAAAAAAATTGAACAAAAAATTTATGATAATATATGATATTAGGTTACCTAACTTTTTTAACTAGTTTAACTTTTTTTAGTTTAACTTTCTGATATGTAATTTTAATTTTTGATATGTTTTGTATAACTTCTTAACTTTTGTATAACAGATAGTATTAGTTTAACTTCTAATTTTTATGAGATCTACATTTCTAGAATATTCTTTTAGATTCTTGAAGATTCTGAAATTAATAATGCTTTTGGTTTTTTGCATTTTACTGATCTTTTTATTATGTAATGTGCTTTTGTGACTTATAGCAAAAATTTTCTTTGAATATATATATATTGAAAAATAAAATAAAAAAATTTTTAAAATATAAAAATAAACTCTTTTAAAAAGAGACATTCCATATATTCTAGCTTAGAAAAGAGCAGTAGAAAAAATTAAAGCATCAATAATTTTGCCTTGATATATTGAAGAAATCACTATAGGAGAAAAAAAAGGAAAGAAAATCTCAGTAAAAAACTTTGTGAGTTTCTTAAATAAGAAGATCACAAGACTAGCAGATTCAAATAACAACACAGAGATAGAATGGTTAACTATAGAGGTAATAGAGAATAAGAAAAAAGTTATAACTTGGCACCTCTTTCATAGAGCTCTACCTCTAGGATACTACTTATGCTATTCAAATCTAGAAGAAAATGGTAACTGTATCTGGTATATAGATGAGCTGCAAACTCCAGAGCATTTTATAATAGACTGCAGAATAAGCCAAAAAATTTGGAAATTAGCCTACTCGTGCTTGAATACAGAACAAGCAAAATACTCTCTGAAGAATTTAGAAGAGGTTTTTAGTACTTCTAATTTAAGAAATAAGAAGGGATTATACATAGCTTTTTGGATTCATATAATTATAATTTATGAAATTAGATGCCAATATACTAGAGTTAAATAGAAAAGAATTATTAAAGCTTAACTAATATATTGAAAATAGTCAAGCTCTACTTAAACAAAGAGATTAATTTGCTAAAATCTAGTGCAATAAAGTTCCTATCTAAAAAGAAAAAAAGGATATGTAAATTTCTTAAAATGTAAATATTGATAAACAAATATTAATAAATAAGTACTACATGTATCTCTAAATGTTAGCATTAGAGAAAAAAAATATTTAATAACTCTGCAATTTTTTGTTTACTAGAATAAAGATATATAATTAGATCTTTAATAAAAACAGAAAGTATTTTAAAAAAATCTATAATAATAAATTTAATAATTATAGTATTTTAATAAATTATTAAATTTGAGTTTATTATTACTTATTTTATCAATTTGTATAATATTAAAGTCTAATTTAAATTAGAAATCAGAAGTCAAATTTCTTTATTTTTAAATAATTAATTAGATCTAATAATCTAGTATAATGAATAGATTATCAAACTACTATGTAATAGATTTGAAGTTCAAATTCTACTATTAACAATTTGAATAATTTCTTAAATTTTATATCTAACTTATAATAAACTCTGTTTATTTCTAGAGTTGTAACTCTGCTATACTAATATTAGAAGTAAGAAACAATATTTGAAGAAACATAATATTATATGAATAAATCTTAATAGGATCTATAAGCAAAGAATGTAGATCAAGTAGATATGAGTAAGTCTATTATACTAGATAATATAGTAACACTAATCTAACTTAGTAGCTACTGAAATAAAAGAATCTACTTTATAAAATATTCAGAAAATATAAAAATCTAATCTGGTAAAGAATTATAGCAGAAACCAAATTCATATAAACATCAAATAAGTATATATACAAGTTAAATTAGAATATAGTATAGCATAGTTAGATATTATAGTATTTATTTATTAAGAAGTATTGAAATAGAATTTATCTAGATAAGATCTAGGCCTATAATAGTAAAGTTTGTGATATATATTAGCTTGAGTATCTTCTAAAGTAGAGTAATACAAGGTAACAATTAACTTAAATATAATAATTATAATAAGTAAGATAAGGTTAGAAAGTTTTTTTTTTTTTTTTTATTTTTTTATACAGAATATATTTTTTTATTAAATAAAATAAAAATTATACAAATTATCCCTTAATCTGTAAGCTATTTCCAGGCAAATTTGCCTAGAAAATTTGTATAATACTGCTATGATCTATATTTTTATAAAATTAAAATATTTAAAAAAAATTTTTTTAATAATATTTGAAAATAAGAATTATATTTTTTAATAAAGACAGCTTACTATGCCAAGTAGATTTTATTAGTTTAATATATGAGGTTGTCTATTGACAATCTCCTACAGTTTGTAATTACATGAAGAGTGTACAACCTGTCACATGTATAACTTTAGTCATTGTTTAATTTAAGTAGTCCCATACAAGTAGATCATCTGTTTGGTTCTACACAAGCTGCTATACCTGTAATCTGCTTGTGAATTATCTATTTAAACACTTTGTTTATCTAACCAATACTGGAATCAACTAATGTTACTGTAATATCTAACTGTTTAAGCCAGCTAGCTCATTGCAGATCTATTTACCTAACTCAGCTTAGGTCCTCTCAGAATATGTATTGCTCAACATATTGTAACATGCAGAGCT